TGCCTCTGCCTCCCAAGTAGCTGGGACCACAGGCGCCCGGCACAACGCCCGGCTATTTTTTTTTTTCGGTTGCAGCCGTCGTTGTTTAGCGGGTCCGGGCTGGGGATTCGAACCTGCCACCTTAGGTGTACATGGCTGGCGCCTTAGCCGGTTGAGCCACAGGCGCCAAGCTGACTCTTTGGACTTCTGTGAAGTATTTTGCACTGCTGTTGGGAGGCATATGGTCTGACTAACCCTGAGCTGGGCAACTGTTTTAGGCACTGATGCTCCCTGTGCCGGGACCTTGGGGACTTGGAAGTAGGAGGGTTCTATGGCACTGGGACCAGGCAGGGTGGGGCCTCAGAGGTGGTGCTGCTGAGCCCAGGGCAATGGTGGCTCTCTGTGTGGCTGTCTGCAGGTGTCCTCTCAGGTCAGTCCAGCTTGCCTTCGAGTTGAATGGAGGGGACTGTGCCTCTTTGAGCTTTTGTTTTTTCCTTCGGCAGAAGGAAAATCAGGGTGATGTACGGGTGGAAAAAATTGACCATGGAATATGGAAATATGACATCCTGTTTTTACTGCCTTCAACTGAAAAAGTGCCTTGTTACCTAAAGTGCCAGGGAAAAAGCCAGTGAAAGCTATTTTCTCTCCTGGAGTTAGGCGTGGTGCTTCCTTACTTCTCAGTGTTTATTGAGGCTGAAATAGCAGGAGAAAGCATCTGTTAGCTCAGAACCAAATTTAGAATGCGAACGCTTGTGTTTACGTTGCCTCTTTCAGTGAAGTAGAGGTTTAGAAGACCTTACAGATCTCCCCTCCTTCACTGTTCTGCTGAGAGCATTCATTTGTGTTCATTGGGGTGGACAAAGCACTGGGCTGATTTTTGAGGTTGATGCTCAGAAAATCCTAATTCCTTCTAATCTGTTCCCAGAGATCTTACCCCAGTCATGACCTTTAGTTTTCTTACTATTCTTTTCCTGCTTCACCTCAGTCTCCAGGGTAGGAATCTACCAGTTTCCTGCTTCTTCCTGCAAAGTACAGGCAGAGGCGGAGTGGTCAGGCTGCCACCTGGCTGCCATATTCTAAAAGTACCCCAGTGTCTCCATCTCCCTTCTTGATTTTTTCTGGCCACTTAACTCCTGACAGCCTGCGCCTTCACTGATTATCAGTTTTGTGGTTCTTTTTTTTCTTTTTTCCTATTGTGGTAAAATATGACTAGATAGAATTTGCCATTTTACTAACTTTTAGGTGCATAATTCAGTGGGATTAATTATCCTCACATGTTGTACAACCCTCAGCACCATCCGTTACTCTCAACAGAAACTCCATAACCATTAAGTAACTGTTCCTTGCTTCCCCCGGCCCCAGGCCCTGGTAGCCTCTAATCTACTTTCCATCTCCATGAACATACCTCTTCTGGAAGTGGAGTTGTGCAGTGCTGTCCATTTGGGTCGAGCTCAGTTTGCTCCCTATGGTGTTTGCAGGCTTCCCCTGCACGTCATTTTGGAGGCTGAATCATATTCTGTGGCAGTGGGTGCTGCATTTTGTGTATCTGGGCATCCAGAGACGGACGCTTGGTGCTTCTGCCTTTTGGCTGTTTTGCACTTGCTGCAGTGAACGTCTGTCATACTCACTGTTTCCAGTTCTTTGGGGACATACCCGGAGTGGGATCTCTGGGTCACATGGTGATTCCATGTTTAAGTTTTGAGGAACTGCTGCTTGTTCCTCCTGGTGTTTGCACCATTTTTACATTCCCACCAGCAGTGGACTAGGGTTCTGATTTCTCCACATCTTCACCACCATTTGTTACTTTCCATTTTTCTGATTGTAGACATCCCAGTAGGTGTGAAGTGGTATCTCTTTGTGGGTTTTTCAGTGTATTTATTTATGACTCTGAATAGCCTTAGGAAATACATTTAATTGTTCCAAACTGTAGGTTCCTGTCCCTATAAATGAAGAACCTGGACTGGCTCTGTGGCTTCTGACTGCACGAGAGATTTCCCTGGGAGTGCTGATGTGGCCACGTGCCTAGGCTCCTGCTCTGGACTGTGTCATGCTGTGGATGAGGGGCAGGACACGTTTTCTTCCAGAGCTGCCCAGGTGGTGGGTGTCCTGAGAGACGCTGAGCCAGGTCTTCCTCTGGAGTTCTTCCAGCTCAGGTGCAGGGTGGCCTCTGGGCTCCACTGTTCATGAGAGCTACGGGTTGGTTGTGCTCTAGCACACCTGGAGTGGAGATTACGGTTGCTCTGTGTATCAGAGTAAGATGAAGGAATAGCCTGTGTCTCTAGAAATGTTTGCTCATTTGTTAATTAACAAAACTGAATAATTTACAGTGGGCTTCCTGTCAGACTGAATGAACGGAAGCTGCTGTGGGGTCTTTCAGTCCTGACTTGTGACCGTGTTACTTGCTAGGCTATTAAGTGCATCCTGGATGGGCTGGCAGATCCAGAGGTGAGAACAGGACACCGGCTTTCACTGTATCAGAGAGCCGTGCGCCTGCGGGAGTCTCCGAGCTGTAAGAAGTATAAGCATCTTTTCCATCAGCTACCAGAAATAACTGTGAAAGATGTTAGACACGTGAGTAAATGTCCCGTGGGTGTGTGAGACTTAACACATTTACCTGGTTTTTCTGAATGGAAGCAGGCTAAGAACAGTTTTTAATGTGTACAGACAGTCCTCGAGTTACAAGCATCCGATTTATATAAGCTTGCACTTATGAACTAAGTTCAACTTAAGAACAAACCTACAGAACCTATCTCGTTTGTAACCCCAGGGTTGTGTTTATTTTCTTTTAGGCTTAAACAGTCTAATGTCTATTTTGGATGGCGATGTGGCCACTGCTCCCATTTTCACTCTGATGCCCTTCTCCCTGCTAAGATCAGGATGGCGTTTTGGGCACACCCTGGGTTGAGTGACAGAGCCCGTGGGTGGGAGCTAGCACCTGCTGGTCTTGCCTGCTAGTCAAGGGGGCTAGGGGCAGTCTGGTCGTCAAAGCTCTCCCAGGCTGGGCCAGCGAGCTGTCACACTCCTGCAGACCTCTGTGTGTGGCTCAGTTGCCACGTGTTCTGCTAAGTGCATGGCTGCAGGGGTAGGAGGTGATGCTCGGGACACATGGGCAGGCTCCAAGGACCTTGGCTGCCACAGGGCTAATAATGGATGTCCTTCTACTGCCGCCTCAGGTGACCATCACGGGCAGACTGTGTCCGCAGCGTGGGATGGGCAAGTCCGTGTTTGTGATGGAGGATGGGGCCGCCACCGCCCCTACCACAGTCCTATGCTCTGTGGAGGAGCTGGCCCTGGCCTATTACAGACGCAGCGGTTTTGACCAGGGTAACTGAGCAGCATCCCCTGCCCCACCCAGTCTTGCTGGGCCGGGCCCTCTTTTTAGCATGGCCAAGACAGGCTGTTGGGTGAGGGACCAGGACAGAAGGTGTGGAGCAGGAGGCCTAGAACAGATGTGGCAATGCCACACACTGCTCCCGACAACTCAGGCCATTGTCCCGAGTACACCTTCACATGGGGACATGTGAGTAAAAGCCTTCTGTACTGGGCTCCTGAGCAGACAGGTTAAGGCTGGCTGGTCTGTGATTTGGCGGCTCCTTCTCGCTGTGGCCTCGCCTGGATGGATGGGGGCCGTGCTTGTCAGTGTTGGACTGAGCAGAGGAGCTTTCTGCCCAGGTGGGCATGTTGGGGCAGGGATCAGGGGGCTGTTGCTTCCTGTGACCAAGGCAGTCACGTGGGGGAGGCACCTCCCTGGTCATGTGTGCTGTTGTGCAGACAAACAGCAACTTGGGGAGGGGCCGGATCAGCTGAGACTCTCTTGGGCACACAGTTCTGGGTGCCATGCCAAGGCCAATCTGTACATTCTGCACCAAACCCTGCCTCTGACTCTGTGTGACCTCGGTACCTGGTTCTCTCTTGAAGACGTCTCCCGTTCAGTAAAATGTGTGTGTGATGTGAGGTCTGAACTATTTAAGGCGAAGGTTTCTATGGAGCCTGTAGGACTGGAAACGCTGGGTCCCTTGTAGCCTGGTGTTCCTGGGTGAAGTGGATCCAGACAGCATGTGCCATGCCGAAGGGCACAGGGTGACCCTCCTCCGGCTGCCTCCCGGGAAGTCCCTTGAGGGAACCATGTCTAAAGGGCCAGCCCAGTGAGCACCTGCACTGGTTACCCAGCCCTGCTAAATCAGAACCTCCACAGCCTGAGGGGGGTATTCTGCCTTTTTCTAAGAAACACGTTTTCTAAGTTATTCACCAAAGTGTGAGCACTAGAGCTTTATGGCTTTTTTTTGGGGGGGGGGGAAGGTCAAGCAGGAAACAAAGTCATTGAGGAAGAGAAAGATAGGCTTACAGAGTAAGAAAGCTTACAAAGCAGGGTACCTTTGCTATAGAGAGTGAACCAGCCTCCTCTGCTCAGTCAAGTAGGTAAAGAGGGCTGCTTTGTGGCTTTCAAGTGTTCATTTGAATTTTTAAATGATTGCTAAGATTTTTGCCCTTAACTAGGATTTCTGTATGTAAAAAAACAGTGTAAAAAATGAGCTAGGAATGCATGAAGATAGCATTTACATTGAATCTAAAGTGTTTCTATTAGTTCCTTGAAATTGAGTGTACAGTAGGGTAGGTGGTATGTTTGAAAAAACAGATAAAACTGATTTTGCCTCTGTGTGAATGATTAATGTTTTAGGGATTCATGGAGAAGGGTCCACCTTCTGCACCCTGTATGGTCTCCTCCTATGGGATGTAATCTTCATGGATGGAATACCAGACGTCTTCAGAAACGCCTACCAGGTAATCTGGTAACCTTGTCCCACAAGGAAACAGTCCCCACACATCTGTGACTTGTCCCCACCTGCATGCTCCAGACCTTCAGCTTCATACCCCTGTCTCTTGGTTACGGTGTTTTTTTTTTTTTTTGAGACAGAGCCTCAAGCTATCCCCCTGGGTAGAGTGCCATGGCATCACAGCTCACAGCAATCTCCAACTCCTGGGCTTAAGCAAGTCTCCTGCCTAACCTCCCAAGTAGCTAGGACCACAGGCGCCCGCCACAATGCTTGGCTATTTTTTGGTTGCAGCTGTCGTTGTTTTTGGCGGGCCCAGGCTGGATTTGAACCCGCCACCTTAGGTGTATGTGGCTGGCGCCTTAGCCACTTGAGCCACAGGCGCTGAGCCTGTTACGGTTTTTTGACTCATCTATACGTTATGGTGTTAGTTCCACTGAAAGAATAACTTTGTTCATTCATTCATTCGTTTATTTATGAGACAGAGTCTTACTTTGTCACCCTTGGTAGAGTGCCCTGGCATCATATTCTACTAAGAGGATAACTAATTAATTAATTAATTATTTTGGAGCCAGAGTCTCACTATGTTGCCATGGCGTCACAGCTCACAGCAACCTCAAACTCTTGGGCTCAAGCGATCCTCTTGCCTCAGCCTCCCGAGTAGCTGGGACTATAGGTGCCCACCACAATGCCTGGCTATTTTATAGAGACGAGGTTTCCCTCTGGCTCAGGCTGGTGTGGAGCCTGTGAGCTGAGGCAATCCACCTGTCTCAGCCTCCCAGAGTGTTGGGATTGCAGGTGTGAGCCATCGCACTGGGCCAGAATAACTTTATTTAAAAAAATCTGAATAGGCTCGGCACCTGTGGCTCAAGTGGCTAAGGCGCCAGCCATATACACCTAAGGTGGCGGGTTCTAATTGAGCCTGGCCTGCCACACAACAATGATGGCTGCAACCAAAAAAAAAAAAAAAAATAGCCAGGCATTGTGGTGGGCACCTGTGGTCCCAGCTACTTGGGAGGCTGAGGCAGGAGACTGGCTTGAGCCCAAGAGTTGGAGGTTGCTGTGAGCTGTGATGCCAGAGCACTCTACCCAGGGGGACAGCTTGAGGCTCTGTCTCAAAAAAAAAAAAAAATCTGAATAATAAAACTTAAACGTTACATTTTATTTATTTATTATTTATTTATTTATTTTTTCGATACAGAGTCTCATTGGGTAGAATGCCTTCGTGTCCTGATAGCTCACAGCAACATCAAATTCCTGGGCTCAAGTGATCCTCTTGCTTCAGCCTCCTGAGTAGCTGGGACTATAGGCACTCACCACAACGTGCCTGGCTAGTTTTTATATTTTTTAGTGGAGATAGGGTCTTGCTCTTGCTCAGGCTAGTCTTGAACTTATGAGCTCAAGTGATCCACCTGCCTCAGCTTCCCAGAGTGCTGGGATTACAGGAGTGAGCCACTGCATCTGGCCTAGTGTATTGTGTTTTATACTTTAAGTCTACTTTACTTTCAACATTATATTTTAAAAAACTTTTAGTAGAAAGGACCTTCAGCATCATCCTTTTCTGAGCACTTACCATGGCCCAGGCATTGTGCCAGTGGCTCTTACATCATTGTCACACATGACCTGCTAAGCAGGCTACCAAAAAACCCAATCAACCAAGTAAACAAAAAACCCCCAAAACAATAATTAAAAAAAAAAAATTAGCTTACTAAAGTGGGAAATAAGAGAAAAAAGAAAGCCCTACTAATTTAAGCTCAAAGCTCTTTTTTGCAAATTATTACTCTAAAACACCATTGTAATACATTGCTTTTATATTGGATTGCATGTTTCAGATAGTTTTTACACATTTTTTGAGAGAAAGCATCTATCAGCCAATTGGGCAGTTTCAGATTTGATAGGTGCTAACCAGTCCCTGGTCAGTGCGCTCGGCCCACTTGAGACCCTGCTCTCCTTGCACCACAGGCCTTCCCACTGGACTTGTGCACGGACGGCTTCTTCACACGCAGGGCGCTGGCTCTTGAGGCCAGGCTGCAGCTGATTCGTGATGCTTCTGCAGAGAGCCTGCGAGCCTGGGTGGCAGCCACGTGGCAGGCCCAGAAGGGCAGGGCGGCTTCCCTTGTCAGCTGGGATCGCTTTGCTTCCCTTCAGCAAGCTCAGGTAATCACTCACCTGCACAGCACAGTCTGGTCAGAAAGTAGTAACAGTGGCTCCCCAGGGCTGGGCATCTGTACTTTGACAGTCGTGCACAGAGATGTGTATGTATGTGCACACATGCAGGTATGTATTTATATTTACATTTAAATATCAACATGTGTGTGTACATCCGTATGGTGTGTATATATTCAACCGTGATAATGCTCTGTGTCCCCCAGCCCAGCTGCCACTGTTAGTGATGGAAATATGCTAGGGAACTAACAAAGTTAGTTATGCCTTTGCCACCCCTGAGTTGACAGCTTCTTTTTACTTGTCCTGTGGCTGTGGCAGGGAGGACACTTTCTCTGTCACTATGACTGTTGGCCTCTGCGAGTCCTTGCTCACAGATTCGTGTGTGCTTTTGCTTATTTCCTCTTCCTTAGCGGCTCCCTATGTCTGTCCTGAGCAAAGTCTGGTAACTGAGCAAAGGAGAACTGATTTCCCCAGAGCTGGCCGGGGCGGACTTTAGCCAGTGGCTCTGTAGCCTGGGACCCAGCAGTGAATAGCATGTGGTATTGAGCTGCATACCGAGTCTGTTTCTGTCTCATGACCCCTGGGGCCTGTTCTGGGTGCCTGTCTTAGGGGAATTGGCTAACTGTTCACATGTTCTGTGTTCAGGATCTTGTCTCCTGCTTGGGGGGTCCTGTCCTCAGTGGCATATGCAGGCGCCTGGCTGCTGACTTTCGACACTGCCGAGGGGGTCTCCCTGACCTGGTGGTGTGGAGCTCCCAGAACCATCGCTTTAAGGTCAGTTGAGCCAGAATGGAAAGTTGTGTTTGCAATTTTATTAGTAACTGAATTAGAGGCCATCATCGAGGCCTTTCTTATGTGGGTTTTGGCAAGATTGAATTCCTTGAGCGCTTTTGGCCTAGGGCTTGTGTACCTCTCTCCCTGGGCAGCTCAGTGGGAGGCAGCCTGTTTCACCAGAGCCAGGGAGTAAGAGGAAGGTGGAAGTTATTGTTACTTATCACTGGATAGAGGAGTGATGTGCCATCACTTCTGCTATACCCTGTTGTTAGAGACAAGTCACCAGCCCAGGTGACACTCAAAGGGAGGAGGTCACGGGGTTGGACACCAGGAGCTGTTTTAGAAGCTCCCCAAGAGTGAATGCCTCCATAAACATCTGTGGGTCCTCACCCTGTTGCCTATCACGAGTGCTTTGTTTTTCTTAGTATCAGGTTTTAAAATTAAAAAGAAAATTATATATTCTGGGTATTTCAGATCTGGGAGTTATATTTTGTCACAATCTGTGTTTTTTTTTTTTTTTTTTTGAGACAGAGCCTCAAGCTGTTCCCCTGGGTAGAGTGCTATGGCTTCACTGCTCACAGTAACCTCCAACTCCTGGGCTCAAGCGAGTCTCCTGCCTCAGCCTCCCAAGTAGCTGGGACCACAGGCGCCCACCACAATGCCTGGCCATTTTTTGGTTGCAGCCGTCATTGTTGTTTGGCGAGCCCGGGCTGGGGATTCGAACCCGCCACCTTAGGCGTATGTGGCTGGCGCCTTAGCTGCTTGAGCCACAGGCGCCGAGCCACAATCTATGTTTTTTAATGACATTTACTTTAATTTTTTTATTTTTAAGTATTGTGAATACTCAGGGTCCATGTGACATTTTGATACAAACCTCGAATGTGTAGATTAATCAGTTCAGGGTAGTTGGGGTATCCATCACCTTAGGCATTTAACATTTCTTTATGTTATGAATATTCCAATTCTTCTCCCAGTTATTTTAAAGTCTACTCTAACATATTAGATAGAATAGACAATGCCTGGCAGCACAGCAGAGTGAATGGCATTGACTTTTAAATATCTCTAATGCCTATTCTTAAATTCATCCCCCTCCAGTATGTGACTCAACGTACTTACTGAGCATTCGTCCACTTGATATGCATTCAGCACTAACAGTGTACCAGGGACTGTTATTAGATTGTTAGCAAACAATATGTACAGAACATCATCTGTAACTTGAACTGATTACTGCAGCCAGATATGGTAGGGTGCAGTGTTAGGGAACGCCAGCTCTGTGCCAACTTGTCCCTTAATAACATCTTTTAAAAGGCAGAAACTCTAAATTTTGATAAAGTCCTACTAATTTGTTCTTTAATGGTTTAATGCTTTTGGTGTCAGAAATACTTGCCCAATTCACAGAGTTTCTCTTCTGTTTTCTCCTGAACATTTTATAGTTTTAGGTCCTACATTTAGTGCTAGTATCCATTCTGAGGTACTTTTTGTATGCGTTCATTTTTTGGTGTATGGACATCTGTTTGTTGAAAAGACTGTGCTGCCTCCAGGTGACTGCCTCTTCATCCATGCATGTGCGGGTCTCTTATGGACCGTCTTCAGTTCCACTGACCTGCTTTACTTGTTGACTGTGCCCCAGCTTGGCTAAGTCCTGTAGTCAGACAGTGCACGTCCAAGCAGTGCATGTCCTCCAGTTTTGTTCTTTTCAAAGCTATTTTGAATATTCCTTTTGTTTCTTTTTTCTATGTTGATTTTAGAATGCTGTCTTTTGCATTCTTATTTGAATTATAAAATCAGCTTCTCAATTTTTATTTTTTTGAGACAGAATCTCCCTATGTCACCCTTGGTAGAGTGCTGTGGTGTCACAATTCACAGCAACTTCAAACTCTTGAGCTCAGGAGATTCTCTTGCCTCAGCCTCCCAAGTAGCTGGGACTATAGGCACCCACCACAATGCCCAGCTATTTTGTGGTTGCAGCCATCATTGTTGTTTGGCAGGCCCAGGCTGGATTCGAACCGGCCAGCTCAGGTGTATGTGGTTGGCGCCTTAGCTGTTTGAGCCACAGGCGGTGAGCCCCGGCTATTTTTAGAGATGAGGTCTCACTCTGGCTCAGGCTGGACTTGAACCTGTGCTCAGGCAGTCCATCCACTTCGGCCTTCCAGAGTTTTAGGATTACAGGCATGACCCACCATGCCTGGCCTAACTTCTTAATTTTTAAGAAAAAAAGCTTGCTGGGATTTAAATGGGATTGCTTTGAGTCTGTAGAACAATCTAAGAATTGATATCCTAATGTCTTTTGATCAGTGAGTGTGGTATGTATGTATATATATAGATAGATATAGATATCTCCATTTACTTAGATTTTTCTTTAATTTCTTTTAGGAATGTTTAGGAATGTTTCTGATTTTTAGAATATAGAACTTGCAAAGTTTTTGTCAGACTGATTCCTAAGTATATCATATTTTTATGCTATTTAAATGGTATTGATGTTTTCTTTTTGAGACAGAGTCTCACTGTGTTGTCACCCTCAGTAGAGTGCTGTGGAGTCACAGCTTACAGCAACCTTAAGCTCTTGGGCTTAAGTGATTCTCTTGCCTCAGCCTCCCAAGTAGCTGGGATTACAGGCGCCCGCCATAACACCCGGCTGTTTTTCTGTTGGGTTATCTTTGTTGCTTTAGGAGGCCCGGGCTGGTTGAACCCGCCAGGCTGTTTATGTGGCCAGTGCCCTCCCTACCCACTGAGCTACAGGCACTGCCTTGATGTTTTCTTTAAATTTCAATTTCCAGCTGCTTGCTGCTACTATATAGAAATACAATGGATTCTTGCATATTGATCTTGTATTCTTCTTGGCACACTCACTTACTAGTTCTAGGAGCTTTTTTGTACATTTTGTTGTATTTTCCGCATTGACATTGATGATTAGATTGTCTGCTAATAAAGACGTACTTTCTCCCTTCCAGTCTTGAAGCCTTTCTTTTCTTTTTCTGGCCTGATTGCACTGGCTAGAACATCCTGCAAAATGTACGTTATAAATGGACTTGACATCCTTGCCTTGTTCCTGACCTGGGAAAGTACTTGGTCTTTCTTTGGTGTGGATCGTGTTACATGTAGCCATCTCACAGCTGCCTTTCACCAGATTAAGGAATCTTCCTTTATGTCCAAGGTTACTGAGAGATTTATTTTTTTAATCAGGCACTGACGTTGGATTTTGTCAATTTTTTTTTTTTTTTTTTAGAGATAGAGTCTCACTTTATTGCCCTCGGTAGAATGCTGTGGTGTCCCACAGCTCACAGCAACCTCCAACTCCTGGGCTTAGGCGATTCTCTCTGTTTTTATTCCTGATAATGTTGATTTGTGTCTTTTCTCTTTTTTTCTCTGGTCATTTTGGCTGGAGATTTACCAATATTACTGATTTTCTCAAAGAACCACCTTTTGGTTTCATTGATTTTTCTCTATTTGTTTCCTGTTTCATTGACTTGTGTTCTGTTCTTTGTTATTTCCTTTTCCCCTGCTTACTTTTGATTTAATTAGTTCTTTCTTCTTAGTTTTTCTTTTTCATTTTTTGAGATAGAGTCTTACTTTGCCACCCTCGGTCGAGTATTGTCGAGTCACAGCTTACAGCAACCTTAAACTCTTGGGCTTGAGCAATTCTTTTGCCTCAGCCTCCCGAGTAGATGGGACTATAGGCACACAATGCCTAACTATTTTTTTGTTGTAGTTGTCATTGTTGTTTTAGCTGGCCCGGCTGGGTTTGAACCGCCACCCTTGGTGTATGTGGCCAGCGCTGTAACCACTGAGGTATGGGCACCACCTCTTCTTAGTTTCTTAAGGTAAAACTGTGATCATTGCTTTGAGACCTTCTTTTCTAAGAGGCATTCAGTGCTATAAATTTCTAAGTGCTACTTTATTTGAATTTCACAAACTTAATATGTTGTTTCTATTTTTATTCATTTAAAGATATTTTGATTTGACTATTGATTTCTTCTTTGATCTTTGGCTTATTTAGAATTGAGTCATTTAGTTTTCAAATATTTAGATATTTTCCAGTTGTCTTTTTGCTATTGATTTGTAATTTAGTTCCATTTTAGTCAGTGGACATATTTTGTATGATTTAAATTGATTTTTTTTTTTTTT